AGAAAAAAATATGTTAATATTTGTATTAAATAACATTTTAATTTATTATTGGTTCTAATTTTGAAATTTTAGTGAAAAATTGCTTTATTACACGTTGTAATATGCTTAAAATTTTTACTGAACAAAATGTATTTCAGTAGCTAGTGTGTGTCAGTTTGTATATACATACATAAATTTTTCGTAAAAATTATTATTAAAAAGTTCTAGTAAATGTAAAGAAGTTTTCAAATATGAGAAAAAATTACGAAAAGTTCTATTTGTTTAGTAGTTTGTATATTTAATATAATTTCTTTTTGTAAGAATACATTTTTATATTATATCCAAACTTAATTTTATTTTTAAGTTTATTAAAAAATTATAATTTTTTTGGGGAAAATATGCGTCTATGCAATATTAACAAAAAGGCTAGTTTTTGCTTTCTGCTTGATACCTACTATATAGTGCTGATCTCACATAAAATTTTTTCGATGCATGGAAACTTATATTCAAAAAAGTTACTTCTGACCATTCAAAATTAATTGTATTTACTTTATAAAAGGTTAGAATACTATCATTTTAGCCTATTCTCCTTACATGATGCTTATCTAACATAAAAAGTTTCAGTACATGGCAACCCAACTAAAAAAAATGTAGTAACTTCAAAAGTAGTTCAGCTTATTTTAACAATAAAGATAAATATTATTGCCTGCGTACAACTTTTTGTTGGAAAAATTTTTGAAAAACAACTTTTTGCATGGCAACCATGTTTAGAGAGATTGCTTTATGAATACATTTTTTGCCTATTTTCTTATGTGGCGATCTCACAGAAAAACTTACTAATGGCAACCCTATTTGAAATAAATTTGACTGCTACCTTCTACAGAATAGCCCTTCTTACTATATTTTGCTTCTGAACTTTATATAATTTTATTTTAGCAGAATACGTATAGTAGTTTAACAGCTGAATAGTTTGCATTGATAATATTTGGAAAATATGGCAACTCTCCTCAAAACATTTATTATTTTGCGTTTTATATGCCTGAAAATTCTCAACAAACAAAAAAAAAATCATTCGTTTTGCTAACTGTCGATATAGCGCCAGTGTCAGATAATGCTTTCGCGATACATGACAACCTTATATCAAAGAAGTATTCGTATTTTACTATTAACTGGTAGAAAAAAAATTTTTTTGTCTAATTTTCTTTATGTGGCGTTCATCTAATAGAACAAGTTGCCATACATGGC